TATAGTATTTGACTAATACGTTTTCAGATGTGACTGGTGTGATTGTGCAGCTGAGCCCCTGACTACTTATTTTTCAGTCATGATGTCTTTTACTGCTGGCTCTAAAAGCAGTGTTTTTATTATAAGGCTGGATGGAAAACCCCTTAAATCACACTTGGTTGCAGTCATTTACAGAAATTGGCCTTTTGGAAATAAATGTGGTTAGGTTATATTTTGCTAGATTAAGAACTGAGACAGCGCAATTGAATGTTTTTTGTTATTGTCAAGGTTTGCCCAATTAATGTTGCATTGTGTTATGTTCTCAAAATTAATTTTAAAAAATGATTTAAGAATGAGAGGCAGGGTGACACAGAGGTTGGTATTGCTGCCTTGCAGCACTGGAGCTCTGGCTTCAGTTCCTGGGGTGCTCTCCGCATGAAGTTTGTATGTTCCTCTTGTTTTGCATGAGTTACCTCCCACAGTCCAAAAACATACTGTACTAGCAGGTTAATTGGCTTCTGTAAAAATTGGCCCTGGTGTGAATATGTGCATATTTGTCCTGTGATGGACTGGTGCCTTGTCCAGTGTGTATCCTGCCTTGTACCCATTGCTGTGGGTTACACTCCAACCCCCCGTGACCCTGTACTGGATAAAGGGGATAGAAAACGAATGGATGGTTTAAAAATGAGAAATCCTAAGAATCACACTATCCCATTTAACTGTTTTTTAGAGATCCTCTTAATTTTGTCATCAACTGGAGATCAATCTACACTGGGAGAGGACGAGGGGCTTATCTTCAGAATTGAATTTTGGTTTCACAAAAGTGAAAATAAATATAAAATCCCAGTTTTTACTACGTTTTTACTACGTCCATCACAGTAATCACCCTTCATTTCAATTCACTTAGCACTTATCAAATCAGGCTTTCATGCTTGCAATTCCCTGATAATAGGACCTTTGCTCCTTTAAGAACTCATCAACAGCATGCCAAAAACATTTACCACTCTAGGATACATTTGGTTTATAGGGTGAAAAATCCAAATGTTTGAGCACAGAATAACAATTTCCAAAATATGCAACCAAGATCTAGCTAGCTGATGCATTGTCATGCATTTATCAACTTACCTCATCGTTTTAAGCACATGGCTTTGTACAGCCAGGGGCACTAGTCAGCATAATATCGATTCAGTCTCAGCCTCAGGCTTCTGTTTTCAAAACTATCTAATCACTAGTAACCAGGTGAGATACAAGCTCTTCTGGATTATAAAGAACTGTAGTATCTAGGCTCCCGTCACTGGTGGTGATCCTGTGTTCTGATGTTTCAAGATTTCAGAAGACCTTGGAAAGATGGAAGAATCTCCTGGAGGCTTTCATCCAGTATTATATCAAATAAAGCTGCTGCTGCTGCTGTTAATTGCTGATGGAATTATATGTTGCATTGTACACTCAAATGCTCTGTATGGAAGAAATGTACATTTTTCAAAAGGCGGTGCCACAATAATCAGGGATTTCTTTATTTTGTAGATGACTATGCCACCTTGCAATTGTGAAGGACCCCCCTTCCCTTTCCACAGATTCTATTCATCTCCCGGAACCACCAGTCACACAAAGACTAGCAACAAACACTAGTATGGCTTCAGTGCGCTTTTTATTTTCTAGTGATACAACAGTTAACACTGTCTATCTCGATCCCATCGCACATTATACAAAACCAATTCCAAAGGGCACGCGTTCCAGATACAATCGCAAGAATCCATTCGGACTTCGGATAGCAAGTAAACGTCCCAAAAAAAAGTGTGGTCCAGTAGTTCTGTCCTACATGAAGTCCCCCGGTGATTCTTAAGCATCTTTGCCAGTTCTGGCTATCCCGAATAACGTTGCTCCCTCACGCTCTTCAACGGGATAATGGAGCTAAATCTCTTCAGTGTAAAAAAAATAAGATTTATACGAGATTCTATCCAAGTATAAAAAATCCTAAGGGTACAGAAAGTTTCAATCCAAAGAACCTTTTCACACTCAGTAGTGAAACAAGGACACATTGTCACAATAAGAAAAATAAATTCATTAAGGATGAAGAAAATGTTTCTTTATGTAAAGAGTTATAGGCATCTGAAATAGGTTTTTGATTTCGGTGGTTGAGGTCCAAACAAGCTATTTAAGAAACAGCTGGGTGAAAATTTGGATTCCCATTGCTACTAAGTTATCAAATCACCTTGAAGTGCTGAATGAGTTCTTCTCATTTGCAACTTTTTATGATCTTATATTTTAAAGCAAGTAACTCATTATATGTGAAATTGCACAGCAGAATTCAGTCAAAGTTTTGAAAGGAAGAGTTAGCATAATATTGCTGTTACTCCAGGATCTCGAAAGCCTGATTTGAAAAGATCTGAGACATTTCAAAACAGGGCATTTCTATTAGATATTTGGTGAGAATCAACAATAATGTACTCATCCTTCAAAAAAGGGTAATGCATCTAAATTGTATCTAAATATAGAAGGCCTGAAAGCAACTGCTGAAAAGTCAATGAAACACATTCAGATTAATAGTGTAATAAATTACAACGTTATAAAATGATAACATCCCTAAATGGCTCAGTAATCATCATTTGTAACAATACCAGTTTCTATTATGATTGGATATAGTGTTTCCTTTGCTATTACACTAAACTAAAACAAATAGCCTTTTCTTAAACTTAATCCTTACATAAAACGTATATCACCTATAAAGAATATGTAAAATTCCATTATTTTCAATTATTCAGATTTCCTATTTATTTTAATATTCTATACTACAAATAGTACTTCTTGGAGGGCAGTTTTGAACCACTATGAAAATATGTGAATAGGCATATTGTATGTACAGTTTTTCAGTTTGTATATATTTTTTATTTTTAAATCATATTCTTATTTCTTCATTTTTAATCCAAATAAACTGCTTACCAACTAAAGTTAACATTTCAGAAAGTGCAACAGTTTTATTTCAGAGCTTCAATCCACTTACTAATCAAAAATTTTAAAAGCAGCATTTGTTGATGAGTTTCTTTTGGCCCAAAACAAAAATCCCCTTGCACACAAAATATCACCACAAAGTACAGAGTTCAAAATGTGCATTCAGTGGGTGGGTCATAGTTTTGATTTAGTCTAGGCACTTAATTTAAACAAATGATTGTCAGCAACATTTTAAAATTAGTCATTATCATTTACATTTTAAAAGGAAATTAGACTGACAAAGACTAATGTTTTCAAGTACTGGTTTATTGTGCTATGAAACATTCACATTTTCTCCAAGATGCCACATACTTACCTATTCTAAAACAGATTGTTATACAAGTATAAGATATATTTACATACAGCAGATATTAAGATCAGAAGCTTACTATACACTGTCAGTAGATTGTGTAGTTAATTTACCTCATATCCATTTACTCCATGTTTTTTCAAAGAAACAGTGTAGCTAAAGTTTTCATTTTTGTGCATAAAAAAAACAATTATTGTTTTAGCTTTAGCTACCATGAAGTGGGCGGTTCTAATTACTCCAGAATCAAATGGTTGGTACTGCTGTTCTTTTAGGCATAGTAGATATATATTTGTACTATATTTACAATTAACATTGGTTTACATACAGTATTTTTTAAATACGAGTTTTTGCAGCAATGGATTAATTTGTACATTACCATTGAGAAACAGTGTTATTATGAGTGCTGGAAAATAACTATAATAAAACAAGGCACAAATTAAATCAATGTGCAGGAATCACTTGAGCGATTGGGGAACTATACTCTGCTGAGCATGAGAGATGTTCTCTTTTTGATTGCAAAAACTGTCATTAAATGCAGCAGAAAACTATAAAATGTGGAGTTTACACTGTCATTTACCAGAAACACTTTTGTTTCAGCAAATATTATGGATTAATTATTCTTATGTAATATGATAAGCTTTTCTTATGTTATAAATAGCAAATGTTCCTTTCCTGCTTTGTTTAACACAGCTCAGACATCCACAAATGCTTTATTGTCTGACCACAGCCCACCTGTAATTGTGTTTTTATAGTAAAAATTAGCGTTTCTTCATACAAAATAAATAAACATTAATTTTCCAAATCATTTACTAAATTTGCAGTGTATTTATTATATTACACATGACACACACAACTTTTTCTACTATGTCTCCCTTGGCAATAAAACTGATTTTATGCAACATTTTGTTTGTATTTTGCAGGTTATGGGTATTACTTCCACAGGCAGATTAGGTGAATAATTAATTTCCTGTTGGACATGGAAGACTGCCTGTAATTAAAGAAAGCAGTGTGTGCCAATTGAGCTGCAAGTCACACCATACAATTGTAGAGACTCACTAGCACATCTATACTGTCTTGTTTCTAGTTCACAATGGCCTCATTGACTATTTATTTTAGACTTTACAACTACACTTTTGATTCTGTTAACTGAAAGAGGTCATATCAAAGATTCCTTTCATTTTGCAACCCCACCAACTTATATAATTTCTTATCACCACTATCTCTTATTGCTATTGAACTGTTTTCACACTGACAGAGTTCACATTGAACTGCAGGCATTGTTTCATAGTCTGTGATAAAAAGGGAAGGTTGTTTTTTATTCAATTAAGCAGGATTCGCAGGTCGTTGTGTTGGTTATATTACTGTTTATGCTTTGTCAGATAAGACAGATAACATGAACTTTTGACAGAATAACTATACATGTCAATTTCAACAACCTACTCAGAATGATGCTCCAAACAGATCAAAATGTAGATAACAAATAATTATATAAAACGGTTTAAACAGTTAACATGTATTTTTAACAGAGTACTGTAAGTGGTTCTAGAAGGCTTTAATTACTGGTACTTAAATACATGCATCCGTACTAACGATGGAAAGGTTTTACTAAAACGTGGGAAAATATAAGGTTAAATTGTTACAAATGCTCAATTCCCGAAAAAAAGACTTCCTCTTTACTGAAATAATTAACCTTTTCCATTCTGCCGTGCCTCACTCACAGTTTTCCACCCAACAAGTTTGATCAATTCGTCACAGTTCCATTTCCCACACTAGTGGCATTATTAATGCGTTTGGGGCTCTGAGGTTCTCTGAAGGAGTGCTGAACCTCCGCGTTAAGTACACCTATAAACACGCTAGTGAACGCTACATTTCTCGTGCTACAGAAGTCGACAATGCTTTAAGAAATACAGATTAAAACGCCTCAGCATCCCAGATTAAAGATAGAAAACCTCGGTTTGATGTATGCTGTTTCTTTAAGCAATGAGTTTTTTTGTCCGACAGGAGGCGTGTCTTCTCCACAGCACAGACACAGCGAGTCTCTAGTCTGTAGGACTGATTCCACTGAGCTATTGGAACAAATGAACTACTTTCTCTTGCTCTTGTAACACTTAACAGCTCATTCTGCTTTTCAAAACCGAAGGTAAGAAGGCTTTTAAACATTTTATTTATTGGAATTAATTTGACCTTGTCTCCTTTTTATAACTCAGTCATGTTCTGCTCCTTTTTTAGTCATTTAATTTTGAACGTTACAATATTTGGTGGTTATGTATTTTTTTTTGTCTTAGTAGTGATATAACATTTGACGAGGACTCTCAACAAATGTTATTTTAAAATGGTCAAAATTCTATCTTATCTTTTGCCATAGCACAAAATAAGTTGGAAATATGTTTTTTGTGAGAAAGTTAAACCATAAAATGTAAATAAAGTTAAAATAATTTCGATATACTGATAAATGTGTGTTATATATTTCGTTTTAGCAAATACGTATATGGCACGGTTCATGTTAATCTTTGGCATGAATGCCGTTGTAAATGTCTAAAAGGTTACGACTTGTTAGTTAATAAAGCGTGTTGAGATATGACCTCTTGTGTCTTCATTTGACCCCTATTTAAAATGCATGTCTCTTCTGACTCTCTGCTTGCAGGGCTAATGCTCTTGGTATTGTGCTGCTTAAAAGACGTTAGGAATCGTTTAATGTCTGCAATATAAATTCTAGGGGACGTTCGTGTTAACGTGGTGCGCAATATGGAATCAAGTTTAGAAACAGGTAGTATGGCTCATCATACGAACGCTCAAAAATTAACTTGAAATTCCAAACATTTCTTGGATTGTTCTTTATAAATATAAAAGGATGTATTGATCCATGACTGGTTTAAATATCAACTTCATTACATAGACAATGTAGAGGTCGCAGAAACATGAGCCTGTACTTAAAAAGGAAGAAAAGCTAACGGTACAGTATATATATATATTTCTGTTATCTCACCAAATGAGATAAATACCAACCACACTATAGTTTAAAAATATTATGTCTAGAAAAAAGCTCATTTCTCAACTGTGTGATACTTTAATTACAATACAAGTTGCTACACGACAATGAAACATAATTACCAGTTTTCCTTCCATTAATCGTCGGTATAGACTAAGCAAATATAGAACAGTATCATCCATTTGCAACAGTTTAAAAAGTAAATGATACTTTGTAGGTAATAAGTGTATGACTTAAGTATTTCAAGCGAAAGGCGTCGAATTAATACTGAATATAGCATTCCAATTAAATTTAACCTGCTTAAAGCAAGTTATTAGAAAGTTTAGGAAGGAAAGCGTACTGTAATACTAAATGTTATTTCCCCTTTAACCCCTCCCCCACCCCCCGAACCCCCTACCGCACAGAGAGGCAAAACACAATGTATTTTCCTTAAACCTTACACAGAAACCTGCGGATGACCTTAAAAGGCATGTGCGATATTTTTTTAGTGTAAAGCTTTTGTTAAAAAGTTTATTTTAAAACTTTTCCTTGTAAAATGCATGAATTTCTAATTCTGGAAGGAAACAGTCATTGGATCTCTTCAATCGAGTGCCCCCAAAGGGAGTGAGGTGCAAGTATGGCATTAAGCAAAAAAAGATAAAGCATTTCTATTCATGAGAATAACTATGTATACATTATTCATTGAAACAGGAAATGTTTACCCTGAGCTATTGATTGGAGAATAGACATTTGTCCACCTTTCAATCAAACTGATATAGTTTGAAGATGGGATTTGGCTTGAATGAAATATTACTGACAGCTTGGCCTGTGCTGTTAAACCAATCAAGCCCCTAACAGTACATTAAGGCAAAGACTGTAATAAAACTACTTCATCTTCATGTGACTTAAGATTTTAAACTCAGATTTCTGCGGTTCAGCAGGTTTTAAGTAAACTGTTAAAAAGTGCCAGTGTAGTTTATTATTAGCCGAATAAAAATGAAGAGATTCATAAAGCCGTATAAGTGATTATAAGCCCTGATAAGTACGGAGCGCTTTCATGACAAAAACATAAAATAGGAAAGCTTCAGACATGATATTACTTCTTTAGAAATACCGGTCAACGCGTCGCTGTTCGCGGTGCTGAAACCCACATTTCACTTATTTACAGTATGTAATACAGAATGCAATTGGATAAGTAAAATCCACAAACCATACCATCGTTGTATTAGTAAATGCGTTGGTTGTATTTCTAACAGCCTGACCTATTCAGATACAATCAAGAAACAGAAAAAAAAATAAAGTAGTGGAGCATATAGGTTTATCTAATATAACACTAAACATAAAACATAAAAGGAACGCAACGCGACTTGTGTTAGATCACTCGACAGCCCCTCAGTAGCAGTTAATGTGAAAAGACAGTGTAGCAGAAGTACCTTTACGAAAAGATTTTGAACATTACTTCCATCACCAGCTCATGTTCAAACCGTAATAATGAAGTTTGGTGCATGTACTCGAGCGCAACGCCTTGTGACACTCGAGTGATAGTTCACTAGAACAACGTATTGTCTCGGAATTACCGTCTCCATAAGACGTGTTGATTACAAATCTTTTTATCGGCACAAACATGCACCCATGGTAATCTCTCATAAAACTCTCAAAGTACTGTGATGATAAACATGTAATGAATTTTTGACTGGTTACTCAAATTGGATTATAGTGTTTAATGCCATAAGAGATTTTGATCGGGAAAACTGATTAAAAGCATATGAGGTAGATTATCGAAACCATTTGTTTTCATTTGAACGAACGGAGTTGCCTAGTGTCTTAAGGAACACGGAATTGCCTTCAATTTAAAGCAACATTGTCTGTTTTAGAATAAAGACCTGATAGGTTTTATAACAAACTTCTGGAAAAGTTTTCTTAAAATATTGTTAAAACTCAATTTAAAGATTCCACTGACACATAATAGCTAAAACTAGATTCTCTGACTACAAGGTATAAATGACACGTTGCTTACAAAAATGTATCGTTGACGTTCGAAGTGCTTATTAAAGGGATGTGACGCTATTTCATATTGTACTGTACATCTAATGGGATATGTACAGTATATAGGCTATATACTAAAGCGACTTAAATATTTCTACTTCATACTAAACATAAAGATGTTGCACATTTCCTATAAATATGGCTTGCAGTCAGATAAACCATGTTATATTCTGCAGTCTAAAGCGTCATTGAATATCAGCCTCAGTATTAATCCGCATAGAAAAGCGAGTAGAAATGGTTACTCTTAACCGGCGATAAAGAGTAAAACTAGCGTTAATGAATATTACGTCCCCATTTTGATTTCGTAAAGATAGGCTAAAATGACTAGAACAAAAAAAAAACTTTTAATAACTTTAATAGTAAAACCGCAAAAAGTACATCGACACTCATGGATATTTGTTTCGGTCTACACTAACAAAAAAGGCATTTTTAGCTCTCTACGATTTGTGGCAACATTAAATGTATAGATACAGTTCTCTATTGCTGCAATTAATAAAGTGAGTCTTTATGAAACTGTCTTTCGTAAAGTTAGCCTCATACAATTCACTGAAATGTGCAGGGTTTAATAGCTGGTATAAATATAAACAGTATATATATAACAATATTTAGTGTCTTTCTAGAGAGCTCCACTACTATGCTCTTAAAATTTCACACAAAGCCCCCTTTTCTTTCGTATTATCTGCAACATTCCGGTTCCTATCATAACTTTTGTACATACCTCTTACACAACTTCAAGGCTAAGAGATTTCGACCTGCCGAGCCAGCTATTAGAATTCATGTATTGATTTTACAGAAGAGCACACTATATTCCCACCGGTGGGGACGTCTGTTGGCAGAAACAAAGAGTGTGGATACGTAAATAAACGAAACTCCCCAGTTCCATAGCGAGAAAAAGGAAAGATGTAACATCACTCGGGTGCCAGATAGGAATCGGAAGATTTTGTGGTCAGCACCGGTGAAATAAGCTATCTTTTTTTCTCTCACACACACTAATCTTGGCTCCACGTCAGAAGCTGTGCAGCAGTGCAGTAGAATGGTAGCATAGACAACCGCTGCCTATAGATTGCTATTGCAATCTTGCCGTCCGTGGTTTAGTCTTCCTTAGACTGTGTTGCTTGGATATCTACCGATCCTCTTTTTTTTTCAGACTGCTTGTGAATGGATTTCTTCTGGATTTGCACAGCCTAACATGGATGTCCCACCATTCCTTGCATCGGAAGGTTGCTTCTTGGCGCAGTGAAACAAGAACATGCAGGGATTGCTAATGGATTTGGGAAGCATATGCTTTCTTTTCTAAGTGACCATGCCGTGATCCTCACTGAGGGCCATTACCCTGCATAACGTCAATAAAACAACTTCGGGGAATCTAACAATACAGGGAATAAGCACTGTGCATTATACAAACATCATGAAGATTATATCCCCAATTCTAACTAATCTGGTCTTCAGGTGCACCGTTAGGCTTCTTCTGCTGATATTACTATGTGTGGGATTTTCTCAGGGGATGCCGCACGTTTTAAGATTTGGTAAGACTCTTTTTCTTTAAAAATATTACTCATGAATTAGAATGCACTCAGACTGAATTATTTTGGACGCCATAACTGGTGTGTTCAAACACAGTTTAGATATAACCATGACCCCTTTGTTGCCCCTTCGCATTTTTCATATTAAAATGGGCTGTGGTGCAGCACGTCTCTTAAACGCTTCCTCCTGCCTCTTGCCTAAAGATGTTTTATGTTCACTCAGCCAATAATACTGTATATAGCGAGTACACATTATCACAGAAGAGGTAGCACCAAACACTCCCGGGTACGCCTGACAACAAGGTAGACAAATATCCTTTGTAGAATATGTAGAAGTTCTCTTTATTAATATGCGTGTTATATATACTGTACATAGAGTTAGAGTGATATCAATTTAGTTTGCTAAAAGCGTGATCCAGTGAAAACAGCATGCTAGCAGTGAAAATGTATCCCGCCTACTATGACCTTTAGTGTACACTTAGCAAGGTTAAATATAACTTCATTAATGTTCTGCCAAAGACGTAAAAGCCTCACACAAGATGCTCACTGTTAATTCCATAAATATAAAGTAAATACCATTATTTTAAGGCAGACCTACGTTAATGGCGATCAAGTGCTGTTGAAACGGTTTGAAAACACTTTTAATGTCTCCCTCTAAGTTTTCTAAAACCCACTTGTATGCACTGCACTTAAAAGATTCAACGTTTTGTAGTTTGGAATTTCGACGTAAAACAACCAAAAGTGCATTGATTTTTGTGCACGTTTCCATTGTTAGAAAATAATATAGTGTTTACTTTTATAATGTCGAATGTCTGGAATTACTACATTTAATAATTCGGGTCCACTGAGTATTATTTAACGTGTTCCTTTAGTTGCGTCACAATGACCAAAAGGTTGCAATAACTGTGCAGCAGGTGTGCTTAAATGGTGTGCTTAAACATTGATTGAATGATGTTGGCAGTTTTTCTGTTCCTACTGTACATTCCGAGACATGTTGTAGGCTGCTGTAGATTTAGATTGTGATGCTGCCCGTGTGTTTATTTTATGTACCTTACGTGTTCTTTTTATGAAATCACTGTACATAGTTCTGGAGCAGTCAAAATGAAAGGAACAGTTTTGCTTCAGAAAGACAATTTTTTCTTTGCTTCGTTGTGGTAGCCAGAACACGCACACAGGAGTGAGCGTTTTCTCTCAGCCATTGGTTGCTTAAGGTGTTGCTTTCTGTACGTTGCTAATGGCAACCATTCCAAGGAATGTATTGTTCTAACTATGCGTATTCCTGTTCGTTTTACTAGGAACATGCGCTTCGCATAAGCGACATCGAGATTCTGTTGAACGGTAATGGTTACATATGTAATATTTCGTGCCTTTGAAATGCTAATGTCCAAAATCCACTGTTTCATGAATGTTTTGGATTAAAAACAGATTAGCTCGAAAAACGGAATTTTGCATCATAATGTCGAAGTCGGATAATCACAATCCGTTTCCTTTCACTGTTTTTTAATGGCACTGCATTTATGTGCCATTTCAGTGTCATTCATGTTCACAAATGGAAACTAAAAGCTGCCAGTTTTATTTGTCCCACAGACAGAAAAGGAAAAACAAAAAACGCTCTCTGGTTATTCCATGTTTGATGTTGTGTCTGTTTTCAACAGTTGTGCGTGAGTTAGGGTGTTCCATCCAAGCTGGTGGTCACTTACAGTACAGTATATACAGTATATACTGACGGCAGTTCCTGCAGGCCTTATTTAACGTTAGGTTTCTAAGGAAGGGCTACTTCTACACAAAGCCCTCTCGTCACCATAGTGCAGTCTGCCTTTTAACTCTGAGCGATCTGTGGACTAGCATATCAGCCGTCAGTTTCAAAGGGTATATGCACTGGAGTGCTGTTGGGGGGGGGATAAGACGCAGATTGTCAAAGCCAGTTCAAACATTCTCTAAGTGCCTTGCAAAAAATACAACATAAGATAGGTAATAAAAAAGTTATTTGCGCTACGAGATAATTTTGTTAATGACTAAATCTAGACTTCAAGTCTAAACAACGAGTTTTCGCAATTATTCGATCTAATTATTGCAGTGAACTTTGTACACGTGTCAGAATGCGTCAAGATCCCACAGCTTTGCTCTTAGAGCAAACCGTGTGACTCACTGTTCCTTGTTCATTAGTTTGTTGAACCTAATGGAGAAAATATTGTTTCTCCATTATGCCTCTTCTTTGTGGTTGCTCTTTGTTTTTATTTAGAGCTGGACACACGCTATGCCTGCTTGTTACTCTCAGTGCCAACACGTCTATACCTCTGATTTTAGAGTCCATATCCAATGTTTCCTTAAAACGTACAACAAAATGATTATTAGAAAGGATGCTGCACAGCGGCTCGAAAGATAGTAAAAACAACAATAGCAGTTCCGTCAAGTAAAACGCTGAGATATTGTACTCTTTCCTGTGGAAGATAATAAGGCATCAGAAACAGAAGGCATTGTGTTAAACTCTACAGGAATGCAATCCAATGTGTTTACAGGTAGATTAAGATGTAAATACTACATACTGTCTTAGAATGATAAAGCAGCTTACGTTTCACAATGGCGTACACGATACGCATTAGAAACCATTTTTCCACCGGCTGTATAGACGGTTGTTGTACTTGACCCTCCCTCAAAAAAACTCTTTCAAGGTTTTGAAAGCGATTCTTTTCAAGAGAAATTCATTGGAACATCACGAATATTTAAAGGATGTTTTTTAGGTGCCTATATAAACTAGCCTTAGCGTACTTTAATACTAGTGTGTATATGGAATACAAAAAACAGCAGAAAAATGGTAAGATGTTAGTCGGAAAGAATGGATATTGGATATATTAAGCCACTAACTTACGTTTATGTAGTATACAGTATATAACCATAGGAACAAGTACCCAGTACTGTATACTGTATATCTCAGTTTATGTAGTACATATAACCATAGGAACAAGTAGCCAGTACTGTATATATCTCATCAATGTACAAATAATGTTTTAACCAAATACTGCATATTTAATGGGAATTTGCTTTTGGTGTAACCAGATTTCATCGAAATTGCACCTTTGCTCTTAAACCCTAGTTTTCAGTCATTACTATTATAATGAAACAGAAGAAATATACACTAAAAGAAATGATTAAACTACATTTATGAAATGGCAATATCTACATTCAAATACATATATAGATAGTAGTGTGTATCTTAGATATCTGAGGCACTTTCAGGAGTTATACAAACAATTGGAGCAACAATTCATTCAAAGCCTCACTAATGTTTTTGATGTTTACAACAGCTTTATTATTTTAGATTCAGATGAGACTATCCTTTAGCCAACTTTAAATCACATTAATCAGAATCTTCAAAAACACAATCATATAAACTCTGGGTACACTGTAACCGAGCAGCCAATATGAACTGTTGTAGTAGCTAATCCATCAGATTTACCATTCAAATGTAATTGACTCATTGTCAGATGTTCCTTGTCATTAACATCATTTGTTCTGATCCACACAACCAGAAAGCTAAAAAATTGCCTTTTCTACTGCAGTATAAAAAGGTATAATTTAAACTAGCTTAAAACAAAATGTCTAAAATTTCTATGGAAGGTGGGCCACATCTAACAAAATCAGTGACTTTTGATTAGCAGTGCATATTTTCAAATCAGAGTATGGTTTTCAATAGGGATTTATATAGTGTGTGGTCAAATCAAGAAAACAAAAACTGTTTTTCTAAAAGTTTATTGAAGACTTTAAAATTAATTTTAATTTTTAGAAAGGCACTCTGCAGACATAAAAAACATTTTCCTTATAATTCCCTTCTCAACTTGGTTTAGTGATCGGGCCTATTAGGTTTAGATATGAAGGGATACAGTCTATTTATGGTCATACAAGGTGTGAACAAATAAATGCCTACTGTGGCAAGGAAGCCGTAACTATTCACTACTAAATGGTGAATAATGTAGGTAAACACTACAGTGATAAATTTATTATACATTTCACCTTACTTCATTCCATGTTTTGAACTCATGAGACATATTAAAAACACCTGAATCCAGGGACAGGCGTGCATATAAATAACACCAAACAGCATGTCCATGAAAAATGTTGAGCTGAGATTGTAGTCCAAAGAAGGCTTTGACAACAGTAAGCCATAGGGCAGTGCCAAATGCGTAACAACCAGAGCAGAGAAGGCAGGTTAATCACTTAAAACAGTTCCTTTTAGACATCCCAACTCGAACCGTCACAGAGATAGACTGCATGAGCATTTAAGACTGCTTCAATCTAAATTTGCCAGTGAAAATTACAGACAAATGCAAACAAGAAAGGAAGGTTGAAAATGCTGTAAATAATATTTATGAACTTGTGTTTATTTTGTCAAAATGTAAAAGAAGATGTGGTGTTTCGGGCATTTTAAAGCCGACTTTTTCTCAGCAAAATACATTTTGATCACAAACTGGTGCACACACACTTGGCATTCTTTAGCAACAGAGCTAAGGTACTTGAGGAGGTACACTTTTCTCCATCTGTTAATGGTGGTCTGCACTCATCAAAATGCAAAACAAAATGCTCTTCTTGCACAATTCATTAAATGTTTATGGGTCTTCTTGACAGAAGACTGAAAAAAAACGTTGACTGAAGTGACTAAAACAGACATTAATAAACAGAAAATGATTGACAGGTGCCACAGATTGACAGGGTACAGTATGTGCAGTAATGATTGATAAGGAGAAGAAGGTGACATATCTGAAATAAAAAAAAATCATTTACAACAAAATGCCAGAACCATCTCTGTTACGTTTTATTGAGAGAATATTAATAAATTGTTTTCTGCCAAATTACAGGTCATACTGTATCTTACCTTGTTGAATTTTAGTAAGCCTGTCCTGGTGTCCCCATGACATCCACAACCACTATATATGAACAGAGAACTGCTCTAATTAAATGTGAAGTCTTGACAGATAGGTAATACAACTATGGAGAATACAAGCTCT